TCTCCTTAGTTCTAGGTTGCTTCTCTCCTTGATTAGTTTCCATCCATTGCTATAAAAAAAAAAAGTCCTGCCTTTAGGGGCTTTGGAAAATAGGTTGACCCCCCCTCCTCTTCTCCGTGACACCCCCCTCAAATATTGGAAGACTGCTATCATATCACCCCTGGTCCTTCTCTTCACTAGACTAGAAATGCCCACTTCTTGTATATATATTCTCTTTGCAATTTTTTTTTAGGCAGATATTTCAAACCTTTTCCTTGCAGTTCATGCAATAAAGGGAAAATATTGGCACCGTTGCTTTTTGAAAAGGAACAGAACGGAAAGGCAACCGCTGAACTTTTTACGCTCGGCTTTTGCAGAGGTCATTTTCTCTCGCCATCAGGGAATAAGCCCAAAGCTATTTTAAGACTTCGCCTCTGTTCGTTATAATAATGCTTAGCGGCTGAATCCCTCTTTTCTTTGACTTCATAAGCAGGCCATCTCGAAAATCTGTTTGCTTACATAGCTTAGCAAAAAAAAAAAAAAAAAACAAGCTCCAGAGTCAGGACTCCCTTAGAATCATGTCCAGAACCAACTGATAGATGAAATAGCTTCTGGCAGGTACAACTTTGCCCTGCAGAGGTTCAGTTTTCTTTCTGCAAATGGGCTGAAATCTATTTGATTTGTACTTTTCCTGCACGTAGGGAGATCTGCTTGAGGGCTACACAAAATTTATCCTGTTATAATTGGCTGGAGGAGAAGGTCAGCTACTTTGCAAGCAGAGGCATGTCTGGTTTGAATCAGAATGTAGCATGTGGGGGTTTTGGGGAGGATATAATAATAATAATAATAAAGTTGGAAGGGATCTTGGAGGTCTTCTAGTCCAACCCCCTTTTCAGGCAGGAAACCCTATAGAGTCTCCTGCTTGAGCAGAGGGCTGGACTAGAAGACCTCCAACTCTGTTATTCTGTTGCACCAGCAGTTCCATTCCATTAAAAAGTGGAGATGCTAAACACTGAAAATTCCTTTAGCGTTGTGTGAGCAATTCAAGGTCTACAGCTACATGGGTTCCTAAGCTATTTCTGTATTCCTAATTATCCTGCTGCTCTTTTTTTCCTAAGACAAATTGGACTTTTGATTTATTTTGCCCCTTAAATAACACACAGTAAATAACAGAAATTGGATGTTTAACTTATTTTGCTCCTTAAATGACACACTGTGTTATCATCTCTTCTCTTCTCTTCTCTTCTCTTCTCTTCTCTTCTCTTCTCTTCTCTTCTCTTCTCTTCTCTTCTCTCTCCTTCAGTCTATCGTCTGTCTGTCTGTCTCTCTCTCTCTCTCTCTCTGTCTTATCTATCTATCTATCTATCTATCTATCTATCTATCTATCTATCTATCTATCGCCGTGGTGGCGCAGTGGTTAGAATGCAGTATTGCCGGCTAATTCTGCCCACTGCCAGCAGTTCAATTTCCATTGGTTCAAGACTGACTCTGCTTTCCATCCTTCTGAGAGGGCAATATACTGACTCTAAACCACTTAGAGGGGGCTGTAAAGCATCTCTAAGTGGTTTAGTGGTCCACACCTCTTGCAAGTTGCGATGGTTGGGAAACACTGATCTAAGGAATTCTGGGAGCCTCTAGCCAAGACTGACAAACACTGATCAAGGGATCTCACCTGCACCTCGCAGGCACAAATATCCCTAAAGATAAGAAATCAGTTTTTTAGCTCTGAAGAACATGGTTTAAAACCCCTGGAAGGAAGGTATTGTTGAATGAATGAAAGGCTGGGCCAGAGATAGCACATTCTGCAGAAAATCAACCCACGCTTCTTCTCCCCAAATGCCGCAGATCATGGCTTTAAGGCTTCGTGCCTTCACTTCTCCCTTCTGTCCCTATAACTGCGCCGCAGGGACAAATTAGAGTAATAAATGGCTGTAGCTATCTCTAGAGAGGCCCGTTCCTTCCCTGTCAAACCTTCTTGTTTCACAACCACACAGTTAACCGAAATAGCTCAACGTTTTTCCGTCAGTGTTTTGTTTTAACCGTGCAATAAAGCCAGGCGTTTTAAAAATAGCTTAGTTTAAAATACAATCGATTTTTAAAATGTCAGGAAATCAAGTTCCCCGGGCTGGTTAAAATCTCCAAAACCTTTTCTTCAAAAGGACATCCCTGCGAGTAAGTGTGCCCAGAAATCGATTCTTCTAAATATATAAGATCATCCTGTAGTACTTAAAAGAAAATTTAAAAGGATGCAAATAGTCCTCACCTGACTGCCACAATGGGCCCCCAACGTGTCTTTTGCTAAGGTTGTTAAATGAGTTTTGCTCCATCTTTATGACCTTACCAAAGTTGTTAAGTGAAACTGCAGTTGTTCAGTTAGTGACATGGTTATTAAGTGAGTCTAGCTTTGCTTGTCAGAAGGTCGCAAAAGGGGGTCACTACAATTGGTCATAAATACAAATCAGTCACCAAGCATCTGAATTTTGATCACATGATCACGGGGCGCTGCCACGGTCATAAGTGGGAAAAAACGGTCGTAAGAACTTTTTTCAGTGCCGTTGAAACTTCAAACGGTCACTAAATGGACTGTTCTAAGTCAAGGACTTACCTTCCTTCCAGCTACTTTCTTTCCTTCCTTCCTTCCTTCCTTCCTTCCTTCCTTCCTTCCTTCCTTCCTTCCTTCCTTCCTTCCTTCCTTCCTCCCTCCCTCCCTCCCTCCATCCCTCCCTCCCATGTATCAACTATCTTCCTTCCTTCCTCCCTCCCTCCCTCCCTCTCTCTCTCTCTCTCTCTTTCTTTCCTCCTCCTCCTCCTCCTCCTCCTCCTCCTCCTCCTCCTTCTCTCTCTCTCTCTCTCTCTCTCTCTCTCTCTCTCTCTCTCTCTCTCTTTCATCCAAGTTTGAAAATCCAGATTTTGGTCTACCAGGTGTTTAATACGTGTGAAGCTTCAGGAGCTCTCCTTAGAGGAGAGCGAACATTACAAGGCCACCAAATTAAAATCCACTTCATCCCAAGTTCTCTGAAGGATTTGCTGACATCCTTCCAGCCTGGAGGGAGCAGGACATGTTCCAGAAGCTTGATTCTCCACCACCAACCCTTGCGGGACTGGACAAAAGCCCTTCCCACCCCCTGGAACAATGCTTGTCTAATGAGATGTTGTGCCCTCTCATTACGGCATCTGTTTCTCTCTGGTACATTAGAGGCAGGTGCTGCCAAGTGACAATTCCCCCTCTTCTGAACAAGCAGGACCTAAATGATGAAACGCAGGTCCTGTTGCCTGCATCTGCTGCATGTGAACGTGGAGACCCCTCCCTATCTATCCTGGCCAAAAGGACAAGCTGAAAACCCACGGAGCAGTTCAGCCCCCACCCCACCCCGGGCTCTGCCGATGTGAGTTGCAATGCCTCCTCCTTAAAAAGGCCCACTGTAAATTTCCTGACAGTGAGAACAATTAATCAATGGAACGGCTTCCCTCCAGAACTTGTGGGTGCTCCAACACTGGAAGTTTTTAAGAAGAGATTGGAATTTGTCTGGAATGGCATTTGGTCACTTGCTTGAGCGGGGAGTTGGACTAGAAGACCTCCAGGGTCCCATCCGACTCTGTTATTCTGTTATCTTAGATCAGTGGAGCAATTTCCTTCCAGATGTTGTGATGCTCCATCACTGGAGGTTTTTAAGAAGAGACTGGACAGCCATAAGGACTTGGACTAGCTGACCTCCACGTTCCCTTCCCACTGTTATTCAGAAATGTAAGGTAAGACCGTGATCTCCATCGGGTGAACAGACAATAAGAAATTAATGACATACTCATCACTCACTTGGACACAAACTGTTTGACCTCCTGCTTCGGATACTAATTGAGCAAGGATGGATGAACCAGAGGCCATTCCTTCTAAGGGCTGTGCAAGAAAGCAAATCTATGCCTTGAGTAGGAAGAAACACACGTCACCTTGTCAAATTTGCAGTGATGTGATTCACCCCAACGAGGCATTTGCCTTTTCCTGCCCGCGGCGTTTCCCATCACTCTCTGCAAGCATTTGAGCATCTTCTGGCTACCGGTATCCTCAGAGGCAGTTCTTCTAGCAAGGCGAAGTCAAGCGGAAGAATAATAAGCCGTAATAACAGTCGTGATAGTCAGAGATCCTGTTAGGATTTGCTCTGTAGACTGCCCAAGAGAGGGCGTGGGTGGGGGAGGGGGGCCTTCTTTGGCTTTTCCAAACCAACACCTAAAGGTTGGTTTATTCTCGTGAAGTTTTGATCAGCTCTCTTGCTGCTGTGGCCAGCTGTGAGCAAAACTGCCATGACTTAATTGTTGAGTTCAACCTTTTAGATCCGCTATAAGCAGCCATTGACTTACAACTCTTTGTTTAGCAGCTGTTCGGATTTACAACGGCAGTTATGACACCGAGGCCTATTGCAGCATCCTGACTGTTGTGTGATCAAAATTCAGGTCCTTGGCAACTCGCATGAAGGGGGGTGGCATCCCAGGGTCATCTGATCACCATTGGCAACTGCCCAGCTGTGTTCCCATAAGCGAAGACAACATGGGAAGGGTCAAGTAGGCAAAATCAGGCTGTCCAGGAGGTCTTCTAGTCCAGCCTCCTGCTCAAGCAAGAGACCCTATAGCATCTGGACAAATGGCTGTCCAGTCTCTTCTTAAAAGCCTCCAGTGATGGCGCACCCACAACATCTGGAGGCAAGTCGTTCCACTGATTAATTGTTCTCACTGTCAGGAAGTTTCTCCTTAATTCCAGGTTGCATCTCTCCTTCATTAGTTTCCACCTGTTATTTCTTCTCCTGCCCCCTGGTGCTTTGGAATATAATTTGACAAGTGGTCCACAACTGTCCAAAACACACCTTAAAATATGGAGCTTGGCAAGGGAGGGGGGCGGTGGTGGAAATGCATGCAAACTGTATTTAAGGGGATGTTGGCTCCATGGGTGGCAAATAGGCTTGTCAAAATGATGCACAAGCTTTCAGCCTGGGGTGCCTTGCTAATGTGCCCTTTTTTCTCTCTCTCTCCAGATAATGACTGCTGCCCGTTGACTTAGCGTGGTGGATGCAAGAGATACACAGCAGTGTGAGTAATGACAGGTTGCATCCCTGAGATAGGGGCATTTGCTAATTAAGCTGCACACCGCTCTAACTCTTGAAACACTTTAAATGAATTGGGTTATGAAGGGATCCTGCTATAGGCCCTTTGTTCTATTGTTGCTGGCTTTCCTTGACCATTAAATCCTGCATTTATTTTTTTATTTTTTTTAGCTTTCTGGACCACAGAGGCCTGGCAAAGTGTCTCCTACCATTCTCAAGATGCTTGCGATGCAGTCACAAGTGAAAAAAATCCCTGAGATAAATGGGGTAAGTAATTGTCTTGAATCCAAGAACACAGATCCCCAAACACCCTGTCCTTCACGTGGTTTGTTCTTAGTAAGTATTGCTATGGGTGAGATCCTGAAGTTGAAACTCAAATACTTTGGCCACCTAATGAGAAGGAAGGACTCACTGAGAAGAGCCTGATGCTGGGAAAGATGGAGGGCAAGAGAAGAAGGGGACGACAGAGAATGACGTGGCTGGAGGGAGTCACTGAAGCAGCAGGCGTGAGCTTAAATGGACTCCAGAAGATGGTGGAGGACAGGAAGGCCTGGAGGAAGGTTGCCCATGGGGTCGCGATGGATCAGACACGACTTCGCAACTAACAGCAACAAATGGTTGAGAAGAATAGGAGAAAGAAAATAGCTTTGCTTTTAAACCAGCGCTCTCGGATGCTTCCAAAACCTGGTAGAACCAATGAATCAGTGATGTCTAAATTATTATAATGTTTAGACAGCTGGCTGAGGCTTCCAATCATGTTGTCAGTTGCGGTTTAAAACAGGAAACAAAAATAGAGCTTCAGAAAATATTGCTTTGTAAGAAATGGAAAACAGGGTCCTGTCACAACAATAGTCCCAGCTACTTCCTGCATTCTTTTCAATCATGGTGGGCAAGCATTAGTGCTTGGGAGATAGATGCCTTCAAAGGGCTGTGAAGTGGTATATAAGTCTAAATGCTTCTGCTATTGGACTGGCAAGCTAATTCCCACAGATGTCCTATTTCCCTTCGGCTCCATTCTCTTTCCGTTCTCTCTGAGTGCCAATTCAGAGTAGCATTAACCTACTCAGAACCTCCAACCCATATTCACCCATTGAAACAGCCGAAGAATCAATCACTTGAAAGCAAGTAGGCCTAATGCTTAATTGCAGGAAGAATTAGGATCTTAATGAAGGCAAGATCTCTGAAGAAAGTTAGCTAATGCCGTATATCCTGGCCATTAACTTCACTATTGAACGTAATTTCTTATTTATTGCAAGTCCGTGCAGATCTACTTTGACTCCCCCAGAATACATGGACCTGTTCTCCGGACAAATTATACGGATTAAGGAAAGGGTTTAAATTTCAGAGAACTGCTGACGTTGGATAACTGATCCAGTCAGCTGAAGTTAGAAATAGGAATAAACTACAGCTATTGTCCAAAGCGCCTGAGGGCAGGGCAAGAAGCAATGGATGGAAAGTTATCGAAGAGTGATTCTACCTAGAACTAAGGAGAAATTTCCTGACAGTGACAAAAACTAATCAGTGGAACGGAAGTTGCCTTCAGAAGTTGTGGGTGCTCCATCACTGGAGGCTTTCAAGAGATCATTAGGGGCTGGAGGCTAAAACATACAAAGAATGGTTGCAAGAGTTGGGATTGTCTAGTTTAATGAAGAGAAGGTCTAGGGGTGACATGATGGCAGTCTTCCAATAGTTGAGGGGCTGCCACAAAGAAGAGGGGCGTCAATCTATTCTCCAAAGCACCAGAAGGCAGAACAAGAAGCCAAGAATGGAAACCAACCAAGGAGAGAACCAACCTAGAACTAAGGAGGAATTTCCTGATGGTGAGAACAGTTAACCAGTGGAACGACTTGCCTCCAGAAGTTGTGGATGCTCCATCACTGGAGATTTTTAAGAAGAGACTGGGCAGTCATAGGATTTACTTAACTTCCGTGAGTCACTTACCAATTATGGCAGAAAAGGCAATAAAATCAGTTTATTATGCATTAATTTCTGTAGCCATAAGCCACAGATGTACAATGGAAAAACACCATCTGTATAAAATATCATCTAGATTCACACAAAACTGTGTTAGCCAGGCGTATAATCCAGATGATCCTGTCCCTCCTTCATATGGTTTCTTCATTTGGATGCGGCTGGTTTTATGAAAGCAGTCACCATGTTTCCTTAAACCAGGTTTAGACGGTTGTGTGAATAAGCAACCAGGGTAAGCCTGCCTCTCTGAGCATTCATAAATTCTGCGCTGTTCTTTTCCTAACCTCACAGCTGGCCAGGTACAACTGAGCAGCGTGAACTAAAATATCTCAGCCTCGTAATAAAAACAGTCTCTAAAATATGCAAATGCATGCAAAAACGGTATCTTTTTGCATCTCCTTTTTAAAGTGACATATGCCTGATGACGCATCCATGCATCCAAGCTGGCTGGAAATGCTTCCTCTGCAAAAGTTGGCCCATCCAACCCCTGGATTTGTGTGTGTGTGTGTGTGTGTGTATGTGTGTGTGTTGGAGTTAGTTTAGCTTACTTTTCTTATATGCTTTAGCCTCCAGTCCCCTAATCATCTTTGTTGCTCTTCTCTGCACTCTTTCTAGAGTCTCAGCCTCTTTTTTACATCGTGGTGACCAAAACTGGATGCCGTATTCCATGTGTGGCCTTACCAAGGCCTTGTAGAGTGGAATTAACACTTCACTTGATCTTGATTCTAAACCTCTATTCTAACCAGTGACTGAACAGAAGCCTAAGCCTGGAACCCCTTGTTCTGAGGATGCAAACTCTTTTTCTCCCACCACCGGGCACCTCTCCCAGCCCTGCCCATCGGCTTCAGTCATCCCAGCCTCTGTTTGCATTCCCTTCTCCATCTTCCACCTTCTTGGGGGTGGGCCACTTCGGCCATTACAGATCTGGCCTGGCCCCCAGCCGCCCCTCGAAATGGCCACGTACAACTCCAGCCTCAGGTCAAGGATCCCTCCACAAAAGCTGGGCTCTTAATTGCGGGGCTCTTAATTGCAGCTTCCCCTTTCCCTTCTGCTTCCTTCTGTTGCCCCCCTCCCTAGCCCAGCCCCAAATTGCTTGTTCTTCCTTCCCTGCCATTCACCGCTCCGGGTTCATTAAGGATGCGGCTCACCAGGGTGGAGAAGAGCCCAGGTCGAAGCAGATGGCAAACAGGAGGATTGGTGGTTCACCAGCTGGCTTCTTCGTCCTCCTCCTCCTCTCGCCGCTGAGCAGATGCCCCCAAGAACAAGAGCAGGGGGCCAGGCGAGGATTTAAGGCAACTCGGTATCAATTAACATCACAGGTCAGAGAAGCAGGGCAAGGGGTCGGGGAGGGAAGAGAGATAATTAGCCAAACTAGGAACAGACTCCAGGAACGGGGTCTCTATCTTGACAGCCAGAAGTTGCTCCAAAATCTACTTTGGATTACAGGCATGCATAAGTCAAGATCAGTCAAGATGGCAGGCACAAGGAAGAGCGGGGAAGAGACGTGGTTTAGCCTCCAGGCGCCAAATGATTAATATTTATATGTATTTACATGTCAGGGTGTAGGTATATCCATATGTTGTTTCAGGGGCTGCCCCAAAGAAGAGGGAGTCGAGCTATTCTCCAAAGCCCCACAAGGCAAGGCAAGAAACAAAGGATGGAAACTAATCAAGGAGAGAAGCAACCTAGAACTAAGGAGGAAGAAGCAAGGCTCAGTTCTTGGAAAAACTCTCAGGTCGACCCACGTCTTTGGAAAGCCAGGATGGATTCACTTTAATATCTCTGCCTACCAGCCTAATGATGTCCTAGAGGAAAAGGGGAAATGCTGATCCTTCACAAGTGGCATCTGCTTGCAAATTCCCCCTTCCCCCCTTTTGGATGGTGGGGGGGGAGGCATCCAGATGGCAGATGGCCTCTTCAGGCAGTCACTTGAGGTTGCCTCTCTCTGTCTCCAGAGAGAGAGAAAAAGAACCTTTAACCCTTCCTCTTCTGGAAATTTTTAGCAGGTTGTTTATTTGTCTGAATCAAATCTGGAAATTTGGATCTGGTCCTTTATGCTGGAGATGATAACAAGAAGAAGAAGAAGAAGAAGAAGAAGAAGAAGAAGAAGAAGAAGAAGAAGAAGAAGAAGAAGAAGAAGAAGAAGAAGAAGAAGAAGAAGAAGAAGAAGAAGAAAGAAGAAGAAGAAGAAGAAGAAGAAGAAGAAGAAGAAGAAGAAGAAGAAGAAGAAGAAGAAGAAGAAGAAGAAATGAGAAATCCAGTCTGAACATCTGGCTGACTGTGCGATGATCCAAAATAATAATTGGCATTGACAAATTCACCATCAGTCAATTGCAAAAGGCAGCCTTACTAAGAACCACTTCCATCCTGCGACGAGATCTGTAATACCATCAAACATCCACATCTGCTTATCCCAGGTCCTTGGGAAGGACTTGATAGGTAGACAAAATGCCAAATCCAGTCTGAACATTTGGCTGACTGTGTGATGATCCTTAATAATAATAATAATAATAATTATTATTATTATTATTGATGGTATATCTGTAATAAATGACTGTCAAGGTCCCTTCCAACTGTGTTATTCTATGATCTATCCTGCTTCTTCAAAGTCACTTCCGTAAAATATCAGAAGCAATATTGTAGCTTGAACAATTCCGATCTTTGTAAGTATGGACCCCTCACATCGCTAGTAACTCTTTACATACTTACTTTAGGCTTGAAAAAAATCTAGGTGCCTCTTGTATGTATAATTTCTGTTCCAGAAGAGCATGTTTCATGCAAATCAACACTTTCACTCATATTTAGATTTGGCATTGTAACAGCAACAGCTTGAAATATACTGTTTCCTATCTGGATTGGTCTCTGAAATATATTACTATTTATCAATATAAACCCAATGTTTTTTTCTACCCACGTTAATAAAGAAATATTCCAGTTCATCTTCTTGGTGGATAAGGAAAAAAAATCTTATTTAAAATAACTCCTTGGTCTACTCTGCCTAGTTCCCCCTAGTAGGGAATCTTGAGATAATTTTTTTCCGCAACGTATCTTCTTCATATAAACTTCTCCCTGAAGGCTTGAAAAAAAAATGTGATTGAACATTTGGTGACATTTCAGAAACCAACACCCACACCGAGTGAATGTAATTTCTTTCTAATCCACTTGATTTCTGTGCTGGATCTTGGTGGATTTTTTTTTTCTTTCATTTTTTTCCCCTTTGGACATCTAGAAAAAGAGTGTGATAAAGATTTCCTTGCCTTTTTCCAGGGCAAATGCCAAAGTGAAAGACTGTCAGG